GCTGAGCCTCTGCGCCGCTCCAGGCATCCTAGACGGGGTCGGAGCAGCAGGGGTCGGAGGATCGCGCCGCATCGCCGATGCATCGCCGATGAATCGCCGATTCATCGCCGATGCGGGGACCGATTTGCTTCACGCCGACGTCGCCGATGCATCGCCGACGTCGACGATGCACCGCCAGTGCATCGGCGATGCGGCGCGATCCTCCGACGCCATCTACTCCGACACATCGAGGAGGCCTCCAGCAACCGAGGCGGGTGCCCAGCAGCGGGCCGTCAGGCAGATCTCTGCTCTCGGCGGCGTGGGCGTCGCCGCGCTGCGGTGGTCTCCAGGGGTGGCCTTCTCGCACCAGAGGCTCGGCGGCAGACCCCCCAGGGCGGAGCTTGCAGACGTTGCCCCAGCAGTTATTCGGCACGAGCGGGATGGGTACGGAAAGAAGGGTTACGAAGACCGACGGCAGCCCCTGTTCTTTTTGGACAGGCCTCGCTGCCGGTGCCGCCGCGGACGTTGCCCCTTCGAGGCAGAAGGCCGCCTGGCCAACATGCGTTGGCGTCGCACGATTTTTTTGCGTACCCTTCTCGGGCGTCCACAGTTGTGCCCAGGCAGCCTGTCAGTGCGATCCGCGCCGCCTCGCCCTACAGTCAGGTCGCTGCAAGAAGGACCGCTTCGGATTCGGAAAGGGCTCGCTGTTCCTCAGTTCATTCCGTGGCCGCTCCTCTAGCTCTCCTCGTGCACTCAGGCGCCGCTGGCGCCCAGAGAGGGGGCCCTGTCTATCATCCGAGGCGTTCCAAAAAGGGCCTTGCCTTCGGGGATCGAAGGAGTTGTCCTCTCTTCCGCGGCGGAATGCGGCGGAAGGTCGGCGGAAGGCCGGCGGAAGTGAAACGAGGCCGCCTCCGCCGGCGGAAGGCGGCGGAAATAACAACAACGCCTGGCAAGAGATGACAACGTCTTTGGGTTCAGGGTTTCCGAAATCGCACATTTTAGCGCTCCTTCCTTCGGCAGCCTGTCAGCACACCCTTCGCCCTCTGCTGCCCCCCCTGGGCCCCTCGGCCTCCCCGGCAGGCCCCCACCGCCCCCGCCGACCGCAGACCGCCGGTGGCCTCGCGGGAGAGCGGCAGCTGCGCGCAGCAGGGGAGCGCCGTCTCCGTGCGGGGCGGGGCGGGAAGCTGGCGGGGCGCCAGCGGCGAGCCCAGGGGGTAGGGCGAGATGCACGGTTTTCCCCAGGGCCGTAGGCGACCCGAGGAGGAGGAGGAGGAGGAGGAGGAGGAGGAGGAGGAGGAGGAGGAGGAGGAGGAGGAGGAGGAGGAGGGGAGGAGGAGGAGGAGGAGGGGGAGGAGGGGAGGTGGGGGAGGGGGAGGAGGCAAGCTAGGTGCGCTCGCGTCATATCTGACATCCTACCCCTCCCTCCCATCCCTTACCATGGCGTAGATCCCCTCTCTACTCGCACAGTCGGATGTCAAGCAGGGCAATGATCCAAAAAGGGTACGCGATGCATTGTAGAGCACGGCATGGCATGGCGTAGAAGAGCACCGCAAAGCGTAGTATCAACCTAGCAATGCACTGCATGCCGTGGCATGGCACGGGAAATGACGCCAGCGCTGCAGCGGGAGCAAGAAACGAGCGGAAGCGTGGAAATGAGGCCAGCGCTGCAGCGGGAGCACGATTCGGAACGAGCGGAAGCAGCGGGAGCACGATTCGGAACGAGCGGGGCCCGAAAATGAGGCCGGCGCCTCAGCGAGACCAGCATTTTGAACACAAATGCAGGCGAAAACCCAACTCCGGGGAAACCTGTGTGTAAAAAAAATACGCGGGGGGGGGTCGGACACTTTCAAACCGTCATCAGGGGAAGAGGGAGAGTAGTATTCATATTGAGTAATTGTAGATGGAGAAGGAGGAGGAGGAGGGGGAGGAGGAGGAGGAGGAGGAAATGGAGGAAGAGGAGGACGAGGAGGAGGAGGAGGAGGAGGAGGAGGAGGAGGAGGAGAAAGATCAGGAGGAGGAGGAGGAGGACGGGTCGCCTGAGCCCTTCGGAGAAACTCTCCAGGGCGAGAGGGGGTAGGCCCTCTCAGAGTGCGGCGGGGCTTCGCAGAAGCCCGCGCGCCCTCTGAGAGAAGGCCTCTGAGCCTTCTCTCCGGGGGCAGGGCGGCCTCCCAGCAGGCGCGCGAGGGCTTCGAGGAGCCCCAGCGCCTTCGAGAGGGTCTGCCCCCCTCTCATTAGTTCTAGGTCGGGCGTGTCCCTCTACAGGAGAAATGTATTCACAAATGGTAAAAGGTAGGCTGGGGACGATCTCTTGATTAGTTTGTAGCCATTTTATTTTTCTCGTCCAAAATCCCCCTGTAGGGGGACATGCCCGACCTATCATCAGTTCCCCCCCCCAGGCTCGCCGCCGAAGGCGGTGATCGGCGTGCTTGCGCGTGCTCTTGCGCGCGCGCTTGCGTGTGCGCCTGCGCCTGCGCGTGCGCTTCCGTGGCGGAGGCGCAGCGCCAGGCAGGCACGGGGGGCCCAAGAGCGCCTCGGCGGGGAGCGCCCGTCCTCCCGCCGTGGCCCGCTCCGTGGCGGCTGCGACGAGGCAGCGCGAGGCGTCGGTGCAGGGGCGCTTGCGTTAAGTTGGGCATGTCCCTCTACACGGGACAGGTGCAACAATAGTCAAACAAATAGTATGGGGACGATTTTTGTTATCTAATCTTGAGCATTTTTTGATCATTCTTCGTTTTTGTCCCAAATACGCCTGTAGGGGGACATGCCCGAACTAACGTTTGCGCCTGGAAGGGGCATGCCGGACGCCGAGCTGGTCTGGTCCCACGCGGCTCGTCGTGCGCAATCTCGGAGATTATTTTGGGGCACCGGGAGCGATCTTCGAGCCATCCTGGCCGAACCGTGCCCCCTTGACACCCCGCGCCTCGTCCTCCTGATGCATCGGAGGACTTCCCCTGCTACAGCGGATCTCCCCCTCGAGCCCCCCAGGCCCGCAGTGCAGTGCCGCGGCAACGTGCAGGGCCCATTTCGATGTGACCGATCCGATTCGAAACGGATTTTGCATGGCTCGACCAGGTTTGATGTGGATGTTTTGGTCATCCGATGCGGACCGATTTTTGCGTGGGCGTTGTTGTGCATCCTGGCGCAACCGATGCGATTCGATTCCGACTCCCTGCTGATGCGTCCCGATCCGACGCACGTTCGGATTCGATCCGATTTCCCGATGCGACGCTGACTGGTCCTGATGTGGGCCGAGCCGTACCCGTTGGGCGCGGATGCACTCGTATTGCTCGGTTTCCAGCTGCAGCTGGAGGCGATCGCAAGGATGTGCCCTCCCCCTCCCCCTCCCCCTCCCCCTCCCCCTCCCCCTCCCCCTCCCCCTCCCCCTCCCCCTTCTCTCCTCCTCCTCCTCCTCCTCCTCCTCCTCCTCCTCCTCCTCCTCCACCTGCTCGTCCGCCGCGAACTCGCTGCTCTCGCGGAGAGAGGCAGCTGGCCGCTCTCCGCGCGGGCACCCGCCGAGTTCGCGCTCGAGCAGGGGCTCCTTCTCTCCTTGTGCCACTGCTCTCGTCGTCTCGTCCAGTCCTGGTCTTGAGTCGGGCATGTCCCTCTACGGGGAATTTTTTCAAAAATAGTGAAAATACGGTCTGGGGACAATTTCTGGACTATTTGTGATTATTCTTGAGCATTTTTTGACTATTTTTGAGTTCTTGCCCAAAATCCGCCTGTAGGAGGACATGCCGAACCTAAGTCTCCCGGCTCAGGGTCCCCGCGTGCGGGCCCGGACCTCGGGTCTGCAGGTCAGGGTCCCCAGGTTTCCCAGAGCAGGGCCCCCAGGCTCCCTGGAGCAGGGTCCCCCCAGGCCCCCCAGAGCAGGGGTTCCCCGTCCCCTCTCCTTCTCTCGCCTTCTGCTGCTCCTCATCCCTATCCTCCTCCCCCTCTCCCTCTGCTTCTCCTCGTCCTGCTCATATCCCGTGCTCCTCCCGACCCCCGTGGCGCCGCGGACCTTTGTCCTGCAGGCCGCGAGCCAGAGGGGGGGACACGCGCCGAGGCTGGGCAGGCTGCGGGTTGCTAGAGCGGCCTGAGCTGCGCGTCTTTTTCTTTATTATGTCGCGGCGCCCGCTCGACGGTCGCGCATAGCACCCGCTGTTTTGCTTGCTCTGTGGGGCGAGCACACTCACTCCCCCTCCTCTTGCCCCTCCTCCTCCCTCCTTCCCCTCCTCTTCCTCTTCCCCCTCCTCTCCCTCCCTCCCATTCTTCTCCTCCAGACGGTGGGGCCGTACAGCGGGAGATCTTCTGCTCCTTGCTGCAGTCCCCCGAAGAAGTACGCCAGATGCCCCGTCGAGGATCTGACGAGACACGCGAAAGTCATGCAATTTGAGATCTTAGATGCTTTCGGCGCAAAACGTGGGCTCGGACAGCTTCGTAATGTTGTGCGGCTCGTCTTTCGCTTCCGAGGCATACCTGTGAGTGGGTGACGTCTGCCGCGCGTTGCAGGTTTTCTTCCATGCCGCCCTGGCAGAAGAATGCATGCGGGGGCAGCTGGTCGACGGTCCAGTGACCTCTCCCGGTTTATTATTAGGCTGATGTTTGTGTCTTGCTTTGGGGGGTTGCGCTGCTCGCTCGCGCTCTCCTTGTTGGTGCGAGTGCCATCTCTCATGAAGTATTCCTGGGCGTTTCGCGTAACTCCCGCCAGCCCACATAGACTCAATCCCAGGGCGAGCTGCGTTTATCAAGGAGATATAGGAGCATACAGATGAAGGGCACCCGCTCTATCACCAGCACAATTCCCTTCGTATCCAGCTGCCTGCGGCAAACCCCGCAACCGTGCCTCGGCAGGACGGGGGCAGCGTGTAGGAACAGCGCAAATCCGACGAGTAGTCTGCATTGGGGCGGGTCGTCCCACCTCGCCTTCGTCCGCGCGGTAGGGAGGAATATGATGATGATGATGATGATGATGATGATGATGATGATGATGATGATGATGATGATGCCGATGCTGCTGCTGATGCTGATGATGATGCTGCTGC